AGCAGGAAAGGTAGCACAATCAGGGTAGTTGAGGAGAGCATAATGGGGACTACTTACAAAGGTGTGGGCAGGGTTACAGGAAACCAACAGTGGGTGGCAAAATCCCCTGGGGCTAGTGATGCCAGGGAGCTGTTACCACCCCTGCTGACAGAGGAAGGGGAGGAAGTGGATTCCAAAAGAAGAAAGGAGCTATGGCTGGAGTTGGAGCTGGAGCTGTAGGTGTGGACTACCTGGGAGGAGCCGTGGCCTTCCATAGAGGAGCACTGCCGCTGACCACTGCCATGGAATGGGGCCCTGGCACACGGGGAGCTGGGGGAATAAACAGCCGATCCTCTTTCCTTCCATCTACTGCTCACCTGCTGGCGTATCCCATCTGCTGACCACTACTGGGGACCAGAGCAGGGCCCTGCTGATGCAGTCTGTTAAGATCAAACTCTGGGGCACGAAGCAGGTAGGAGAAGGGTGGAGAGAGGATCTGGGGTGGGGTAGATGGAGAAGATCCAGCACAATGTATAATTTTACATTTGCATGATTACTCTTTGAGGTGGATATTACTGTAACCACATCTGGATGGTATAACAGAGGCCCAGAGTTCAATTTGTCTAAGTTCACACAGCTTGTTAGTGGCCAAGCCAGGACCAGAGCTCAGATTGTCTGACTCCAATTCCAGTGCTTGTGACTGGCTCCATGCCTCCTCCCACCCCAGCCTGCTAGGGAGAGAGCCTGCTCATTCCTTTGGCTTCTGGATTCTTCTTGGGAACAATGGGACCAGGGTGGGAAAGAACTGACTTTCTGAGAGGGAGAATAAATTCTACAAAGTGTAGGACTGGAATCTGGATGCCCGGGACAGGGGTTTTCTGTTTAAGACTCCTTAGAGTATCAAGAGAACTAGGTGAGCAGTGAGCAGGGCCGAGATCTAGGTGTGGCCCCTGCTAATGATCGGAGGCACAATAAATTGAGCCTGTGTTGTATGCCAGGCTGCCAGGCACTGTGCTAAAGGCTTCATGAACATCATAGCAAACTCTCAAAGGAACTTATTATTATTTTCATTTGCTGGCCCCAAAACAAAAACACAGAGAGGTTAAATTGCTTGTTAAATGTAGAAACATGATTCAAAATCAAGACTGGCTACAAAGGAAGGCCAAGCTCCTTCCTTTACACCAGTGGTTGACTTTTGGAGGCCTGCAACCTGATTTTGACTCACTGAGACCTCAAGATTTTTGTAAAAAAATGAAACCAGTGGCCAACATCTTAAAAGTGTGCAATTTCACATAAAAACCTGAATGCCTGACTTCTGTTGAAAAATTGGAAGGTTGGAAATGCTGGGCCCACATTCTCACATGGCAATGATTGACTAAAACTGAGTAATGGCCGCCTCCTTTAAATGAAGGATTTGTTCTCATTGTTGCCACAGTCCCCACCACTCCCTATTGGCCCAACACTGAGGCTGAGAATCAGTTGCCATTTCTTATCTGTCTATACCATTGGTTCTCTTACACTCAGTCCACTTTCCTTATTTATGTTGCCTGCTTGGCTCTGGTAGGCATTTGGGTTTGTGTTTCCAAAGTGCCCACTTCATTGATGGTATAAGATCATCCACTGGGGTGAGAGAAGCAGATATTGGACTTTTTATTAATATGTATGATCTCAATCATTTTAATGTTTATTTTTATGCTTTATAATATACTTAATATATCAATACAATAGTCATGGCTATATTTTATAAATAAATTATGCATATACATTGGGGGTATTTGTTCAGAATTCATCTTTCTGATAAGGCTCTGAGATAGAAAAGTTTGAAGATCACTGTTCTTAATCACTACCTTTGTGCTAGCTGTGAGACACTGTGAAAATCCCTTTGACTTTCTAGGCCTGGATTTTTTCCACTGGAAAATGGAGATATTGATAATGTCTATCTTGAAGAGTTGTTTCAAAATTCTAACCCCCCAGCAACCAATAAAGTGCTGAGCAATAAAAGCAGAAAGCCACCCTGGGAGAAGTGACTTAGCACAGCTGGCCATGTGGTGGCAGCTCCTCCTCTGTGAATGTCAACCTGGAAGGGGAATTGGAAGCTTCCCTGTAGCGTGTCCAGTCATAAAGCCTGGGCTGCTGGCAACCTGGTCCAACCCCCTGCACAGCAACAAGGATTGATTTTCAGGTTTATCAGTGCTGTTGATATGCTCCTGGAGCAGACAACAGCTCTGCTCTCATTAAAGAGAAGCAGCTGCCCCATTTCTGTTCACCTTGCCCTCACCTCCAGCCTACACCTGGCATCCCAGGGAGAAATTTCCCCATTTCCTTCCTCCCCACTGGCCTCCTTTGTTCTTGGGTTCATTCTGGCTTGGAGGGAGTCAAGATTTAAAGGGGGCTCAGAAACACAGGGGAGGGTGTCAGTGGAATGCTCACCCTAGTATGGTCATGTCAAAGCTCCCTCCCACCAGAAGAAAAGAGGTGACCCTGAGACCAGGCACTTCATAGATTCTCAAGGGCAGCTCTGCCCTTTGGTGGGCTCAGGGGGTTAGACAGACCCTGAGTGCTGGCTGAGCTTCTGGGATAGGATGCTCCAGGCACTCACTTCGTTCCTTCCAATCACCAAGGATGACTGCAGAATTGTTCAAATCCCCGTGGTATGGAGAGGTAATGTTAGCCAGGTTCACTGCCCACTAAGGAGTCTAGTGAAGATGACCAAATGCCCTGCTCTGCCTGGGACTAAAAGGTTCCCTGGAATGTGGGATTTTCAGTGCTAAAACTGGGACAATTCACAGCAATCCAGAAAGATGGATCCCAGATGGAGCCACAGTTCAAATCCTTACCATCGGTCTCCAAAGCCCACGCACTGAACTGCTCCTCTGCAGTGCCCCGAGTGAGGACAGTGAGAGCCACTGGGGCATGTGCAGTGTGACAGGCAGTGAACACCTGCAGGAGGAAAGAGAAAGCGCCTCAAATATAGGGACAAGTTCTCCGTGTTGCTTTTCCATCTGGGAGTGGGGCAGGAGAGAGGAGAGAGGGCAGCCCTGTATCCAGTCTGTTTGCAAGATGAGATTCCAGTAGGAACTACTGTTTATGGAGCATCTTTACATTTATAACTTCAGTCCAAACCCTTGGGAGGTAGGTTTTCGCAGATGAGGAAACTAAGGCTCTGAGATGCTCAGGAGTCTGCTCAATGCCTGCTATAGTCCCTTCAGGCTGCTATAACAAAATACCACAGACCGGGAAGCTGATGAACAGTAGAAATGTATTGCTCATAGTTCTGGAGGCTGGAAGTCTGAGATCAGGGTGCTAACATGGTGGATGAGGGCCCTCTTCTGGGTCACAGATTTCTCATTGTATCCTCACATGATGGAAGGGGCTAAGGAAATACATGAGATCTCCTTTTTATGAGTACTAACCCAATTCGCGAGGGCTGTACCCTCATGACCAAATCACTTCCCAAAGCCCCCCACCTGCCAATACTATTTCGCAGGGAGGACACAAACATTATACCATAGCAGTACCGCTCCCCGCCGCCCCCCTAGTTAAAAGTGGTGGAGTCTGCACTTGACCTCAGGTCTGTTTGCTTCCAGGGCCTGTACCTTTACCATGAGGCAACATTGTTTCTCCTTCTCCAGGAGGACTTTCTTAAAACATCAGATCATTTCAGGTGATTATTATAAGTCAGGAGCTGGCAGGGTTGGGAAGTAGGTGGTGGGAAGTTTTGTTAAATCTTTCTGTGCCTTTTGAGTATTCTCGAGTTTCCATTACTGGTTGGCAGGGAGAGTGAGGTAAACTTCAGTGTCTTACATTTCCTACTTATTAACTCCTGGTCAGGAAAGGTCGTCAAATCTGTTAAGTGCAACGATGTCTTGGCAGTGGATTTCAATTAACCACCAGAAACTCTCCCATCCACAACAAACCCAGACAGTCTTTGGCTGAATTTAGCTCAGAAGATACAGGAGGTGGGAGGCTGCTTAAGCCTTGTCTGAATCTTTTGGAGTGCACTGAGTGGTGTTACCACACATGTGCATGCTCTGGGTTTAATTTATCAGTGCTACTGATTGTAAAAAAAAATAAAAAAGTTAGACTTTGCAACACTGCCTATGGGCAAGAATCAAAATTAAAGTGTTATTTAAAATACAGGAGAGAGACCAATAGTCACTTAAATAGCTTTCAAAAGTATAAGACCCCCACCGGCTGTAAAATACTACCTCGGGAGATCCATTCCAAAGAAGAGTTTTTTCCTAGGTCCTGAAAATATACATAGATGCAGTCTTCTCATATCTGAGTAAAAGTTATTCATTTATTCATTTCACAAAGGTTTATTGAATGTCTCCTGTGGGTCGGGCCCTGAGCTACGAGCTGTGAGGATATAAAGAAAGGTGAAATTGACTAGGATCTTTCCCTCATCAAATCCCCCGTTCATTAAAGGGGATAAGACACAAAAATTAACATATTACTGGGTAGAAATAAAGAAATGGAGAGCATTCCAAGCAGGGGGAGTGGGCTGAGCAAAGATCTAGAGGAGGGAAAACAAGTATACTTGGAAAGCTAGTAAACTAGTCTGGCTCACAGAGCACAAGGGAAACAAATGAGAGAAAACGGAAGGAAAGAAGTACCCGCCTGATGTCTGACCTCATGCCTGAGGATATAGAGATGTGTATGTAAGCCAGAGGTAGGTTCCAGGAAGACCTGATGATGGCCAACTTCAAGAGTCTTAAATGTTGATATAACAAAACCCAAAGAATGACACAAACTTGGGGAACTGCCAAACTGGGGGGCACAGATGACAAGGTCAGAAGTTCAGCTGAGAGACAGCTTGGTAGGGGCTGGAGGAGGGGTAATGTATTTCAAGGGCAGAACAGGAATTTAACCTAGAGGTGGGCTTTGGAGGACGGAAAGAATTTCTTTGGTGGGAGAGGAGGGCCCAGGGCACCCTGAGCAAAGAAACTGCCCTCAAATGATGGGGAGGAAGGAAGGAGGGATGCCTGGGTCAGGTGAGTCCCTGGTCTGACAAGCACAGAAGGGGGCTGCTCTAACTTCTTCCCCTTCTGGACAAGTGACAGATTGGGGTGAGGAAGTGTGGCCCCGGTGTTGGAGGCAGACAGATCCAGGTTGGGTTCAACTCCAGCTCTGTCACTGATTCATTTTAAGGTACCTCTGTGTACCTCCCTCGGCCTTGTTTTCCTCATTTGCAGAAAGGCCTTAACCAGGCTTCCCTAGTGGGGCTGCTGTGAGGGTTAGAGCCTTACGTCAGTTAGAGCATTTTGGGCACAGGTCATGGCAAGTCTGTCCCAAGTTGCCTCGCCTTCTGCTCTGCCTCCCCAGGCTGGCTTCCTCCTCGGGAGCCTGGGTCACACCCAGGTACCTGTGGACCCAAAATTATTAAAACAGCAAATTATTTTACTAGCAAAATTTTGCAAAGAATTGCAATTCAGGACGTGCAGTCTATGGTGAACCACAGGCATGCCCAGAGAACAAAGGAAGGGAGCCTGCTTTTATGGGGAAAATCAGGGAATTAGGAGGGGCTGTTCTAAATGAAAGTTCATCGGAGAAAGGCAGAAGTTCAGGGTGGCAGTGGCTTCTCACTGACTGAGCCGGGGTGTTTCTCATTGACCAGGTTGTTGCTGAGCAAGGAGAAATTCTTCCCTGGGGATAGTCCAGTAGTTGCACTTCCTGCTTGGGGGTGCAAAGTATTCTTCCTCCTGTGGGCCACGCAATTGACCTTGAGTAGCAGGGCGTGAGAGCTCCCCTTTCTGGCCTCCTGACTTCATTTTAAATAGAGGTTCCTGTGTATTAATTTTCATACAAGAAATTGTATGAAAGAAGAGAGATGGGGCCTTGAGGTCTTTGCGTGGCTTTCTCCTAGGGGTGAGGAAGTCTCCCAGAAGCCCCGGCATCTCATGTGCTCATTCTGAACCACTCACTGACAGAGGGGGCGGGACTTCCCTTAGACCAATCAGGCACACCCCTGGAGCTGGGAGGCGGGGCATGTTCCCAGCGCCGGGGCGGGAAGGGGGGCTGATGCAGCACTGTGGTTAGATAGACCACCTGAAGCACCCATTTCAGAGACGCTGCAAAACGCTCCGCACAGAGTAGGTTCTCAGGCTGCAGAGGTCACAGATAACTGGGCTCAAGGTGTCTGTCCTTAATTGTACATGAGGTCATTAAACCTCTAAATAACAGGGGAGAAAGGGAAGTAAGATTCTGAGAGAGCCTGAGCAGCTCAGAGTGGTTAGCATTAAAATCATAATGTTGTCTGTAAAGTTCCTTTAAATCCATATTTCATGACTTCAAAAAAAAAAAAACAAAAACATTTCTCTCCTCTTCTCCAAGGTATAGCGACATTCCCTTTTCATTTAGTCCTGACAACCACCTGGTGTCTTGTGGGGACATTCTGGAGTCCTTCCTGGTACCTCTTTCTGCCACCTGGAGGCTTTTGTATTGGGCCCACAGTGACTGTGGACCCGGTGTGGGCCAAGCTACCTGGCTACAAACCTCAGCTCCGGCACTTCATAGCCTCTCTGTGCTTTTTTCCTCATCTGGGAAAAAAAAAATAATAATAGTACCTGGTTCTTTGGGTTGTTTTGATGATTAACAAACAGTTTGGTCTTCTCTGACGAAAGTAGCCTGTTGAAGATAGGGAGAATTTGTGAATCCCTGGAGACTGGATTCTTGCCACTTCCTGCCATCTCAGCAAAGAGCAGAACATAGGATAGGGACATGTGAAGGGAAGGGAAGGAACTTCATGAAAAGCATGCATTCCATAATTTAAGGAAATTATAGTATTATCACTTTCCAGCATGGCAACAAGATATAAATAGATGCTAATAAGTAAAATTAGGTTAATTGTTGGAAAAAGTACAATTCGTAATAGGGTTGCATTATAAAAACGTTTGCACATGTAAAAATTCTGTAATATACGTGGACTTTAATTGCTGCATCGGCATGGAAAACTGTCGGCTCTGCCACTACTAGCTGTGTGATTTCAGGCAACTCTCTTTACCTTTCTGAGCCTCAGTTTCATTGGCTATAAAATGAGACTAATAACTTCTTTCTTGTAATAAAGGACCAGATGAGGTAATGTGTGAAAGGGCTTTGAAAACTGGAAAGCACAATACTTTCCTTAGGTATTGTAAAGAATTTTCATCCACAACAAAAGTATATTCAAGGAAAATGAAAAGACTCATTGTTTGAAATACCAACCTTAAAAACCAATCCAGAAATACTAAACTTATGCTTTTCTTTACAATAGCGTCTATAAGACTTTTGCTTTTTTAGACACCGCCTTTTTCGTTAACATCACCTTAGGATCTCATGGCATCTTTCTTAGGGACTGAACAGCAATTGGTGAACTGTTTCAGACAGAAATCTCGAGGGTCCAAGCTCCTGGATTAAGGTAGCTCCCTTATAGAATGTATTTTCTGGGTAAACATGAAAATTGGATTAAGCCAAGCATGTCATTGTAGATAAGGAAAATCGGTGCCATGTGGGCTGAACTGTTTATAGTCTTAACTACAGAAATGGATGAACTATTTATACCTATGAGTTCTGCTGTCTCAAACCACGGCAGTCCGCTCCTCACTTCAAGTTCACATAGCCATCACTATGAAGAGTCAGTCACAGTGGGTGAAAAGCAACTAATGTCAGACCCCTGCTGGCCTAGTCTGGCACTGCATGGGGAAACACAACCTCCTGTTCATATTAAGGGGGAAATTAGCTACAGGGGCAAGAGACCTGAGATGCCAAGAATTCAGTCTCGCCTCACTTTCTTTGTAGGTGTCAATATTCATCAAAAAGTGTGTCAAAATGGGAGCTTAAGATCAGACTTGACTTACAATGGCTCTTAAGAGGCAGCCGGGGATAATAACCTCCCTTCAGGGCAGTTTGGAGCTTGAATCTGCCTGTCCTGCCAGCTTGCTGTTCATTGCTAACAGCATGTAGTGTAGCACTTGTTTTTCAACATGCTTTCAAACTCACTGCTCATTGCATAGTTTAACCTCTAGAGGGGGCAGAGGTTTTCTCTCCAGCTTTTTCATTCTGCCTCATTTGCAAGGAGGAAGAACTCTGAAGGGTCACGGTCAAAATGGAGTGCTCGAGGGTGTATATAATGGGGTCACTATAATAGGAAGTAGAGTTTGCAGGTATAAGGACTGCCCAGAGTTACAACATGTTTCCTTCTTGTGGTCTGTGCTCTCTCCTCTTCTTTCATTAAACTGAAATAAAATGAAGCCTGCCCCTGTAAGGAAAGTGGGGTCTAGGGAAAGCAAGCACAGAGCAGTCCAGGGATAGAGAGAAAAAACCCAAACAAAACAAGAACCTCAGATGAAGAGTGACAGCTCTCGTTTTGAGGAAGAGGATCTTGATTAGTGCTCCTGGCTGGGAGAAATCGGACACAGCAGGAA